GGGGGGGGGGGGGAAACTACTGCCCTGTGTTCAAAGCCCACGTCTTCCCACGGCAACCCTCCCGAGCCTACCACTGACCATACCAACGCCCTCTGGACACCATACGCACAGTTCATGCTTCCATCAACCTTGGCCCACAGCCTCCAGATCCCCCAAGCTCAGACTGCCTCGAGAGTATTCACTGTCTAGACTTAAGCCAGCTCCCCAGAAGGAGAAGCTCCATCACTCACACTCAACGAGAAGGCGCCTCTCCTTTTCATGGCCAACACACCCCGCACCCCCCCAGGTTTCCTGGGCCCAGACCAAGCCCTAATGCACTGCAAGAAGGATACAATTTCCAAACAGCGTCAGGACAATGAAATAAAAAGAGGAGAACATGCCTTTGCTGACTCCACCTTGCGATTCGATCCCATGATACATCACTGCATTCCAGTCCTCTCCTGTTAGGATCTGTGGAGGGATAGTACCACAAGGCATGCCTACATGGCCACACGTCTGTGCGCACACTCAGAGTCAAGACATGGCTGTGTACACACGCACACGCACAGGTTTCTGGATGATGGGGTTTCTGTAGGTCAAGGTGGCCCACGGTCCTCCAGAAAAACTTCCAGAAAGACATGGCTGCTGAGCTAGGTCAGGCCTCAAAAGATGAATATGCTCTAGCATTTCCAAAAACAGAAAGGGGGTGGCAAGCAGAAGGAAAAGGCGAGCGAAGGCAAGGAAGAGAACAATAGCATAAGCTGGGGAACTGAGGCAGGGCCGAAGAGGCAGAACTCCCCACTCCCAGAGCCATGGAGGCCATGATTTTATAGATGATGTGACAGTGCGTCCAGCGGTGAGGGTAGCTAAGTGCAATGTTGCCCCATCAAGAAACATGTGTCTCTCAGCTACTATATTTTTGGAAAAGTACAAACGCATCAAGTAACAGACATTCATGTGTCCACCAATAAAAATGGACACTGCTGGGGGCACCTGGGGGTCTCAGTCGGTTGAGTGTCTGACTCCAGCTCAGGTCATGATCTCACAGGTTGTGAGTTGGAGCCCTGCGTCGGGTTCTGTGCTGACAGCTCAGAGCCTGGAGCCTGCTTTGGATTCTGTGTCTCCCCCTCTCTCTGCCCCTCCCCTGCTCACACTCTGTCCCTCTCTCTGTCAAAAATAAACATTAATTTAAAAAAAAAAAAAAAGACACTGCTCAATCTGTCCCACTGGCATCGCTGCCCACAATCACTCCTGACAGACGACCCCACTCACAAACTGGTGAGGAACCGTGTCAATAGAGTTCTACCCACGTGACATGCATGTATCTATAAATAAAATGTGCCACGTGTGTTTTAAACACACACAGGAAGGTATCATACTACACACATCATTCTTCAACTTGCTGTCCCCATCCAATATATCTTTGAAGTTTATCCATGTGATACACACATGTCCACTTATTCATGTCCCCTACTGTGACCCTTCAGGCATCCACCCACATGCCTCCTGACCACACCTTAGCTGTTTCCAGTGTTTTGCTACAGAGTTTCACTGTAAACGCTGCAAACTAGGACCACCAGGCAGCCAGTCATGCCAGCCTCTGACTTTACGAGGTTTCCGGATCGCTTACTCTAAATTACATCTGTAGTGGACACAGTTCCCGTCTGAGGGATGAGAGGGCGAGCTGATCAGGCGTCATCTTCCGGGGCCTCCTCCGCGGTCTCAGGTTTCGGACACCCCGTCTTCCCCACACGGACTGTGACACTTGCGTGCGTGTCCTTGCACATACTAGCCCTCTGTCTGCGGGAGCTACTGGACATGTTCTCAGTTCCTTTCTGTCTTATGACAGAGGGCAATGCAGCCAAATGTGTCACCGTTTCCTTCGTGCTTTCTGCTTTCTGAACCTCATTTAAGAAATTCCTCTCCATCCGAAGGCCATAAAGAGAGTCTCCTACATTTTCTTCAAGTCATTTTAAAGTTTGATTTTTCAGTTAGGGTTCTAATCCAACTGGAGTTTGTGGTAACTGCTCTGTGGATGCATGGGGATGAAGATCTACATTTTTCCCCAGTGGAAAGCCACTTTTCACAGACCCACTTTTTAAAATATCCTGTCCCCTTTGAGGTATAATGCCGTCCTCCTCCTAAGACCGGCTTCCTACCTGGGCATGTTTCCAGGTTCTCTGGTCTGGTCTTCTGGTATTTTGCCTATGTACCTCATGATGCTCCCCACTGTCGCTTCGTAAAAACTCTTGACATGTGGTGAGGCAAATCCCTCCTTCCTGAATTGTCTTGGCCATTCTTGGACATCGACTCTTCCACATTATCAATATGCTGAATTCCAAAAACAGTCCTGTTGGAATTTGCATCAGGACTACATTGAATTCATAGCTTGAACTAGGAGAACAGATACCTTTACCATGTTAAGGCCTCCTCGTTATAAATATACTTCCTGAATACCAGATCTGTAGGTCCTTTAATAACAAGTTATAATTTCGCCCATAAAAGTCTTGCATTCTGTTTGCAGATTTCTGGGTGCCTTACAGCTTTTGTTGCCTCTGTGAATGAAATCTTTCATTTTAATTAAATTTTCTAGTTGAATGATCAGATCATATAGGAAAGCTCTATTTTTGTATATTGGTCTTGTGCTAAGCAACACAAATGAATTTTATGCACTTGGCAGGACTCACCTTATAACCTGCCAGGCTCAGGGCAGGAAAAGAGCTCTACAGACCCCTTTTCTTTAATGGTTATAAAATTATCCAGGTTTTTCAGTTCTTCTTAAGCCAATTTAAATCTTTGATATTTTCCTATAAAACTGCATGTTTCATCTTAGTCTTCAAATGTCTTGCCTAATATTCTTTCGAATTAAAAAAAAAATGTCTCCCTTTCCTGTAGTTACACCTCCTTTATGGGCTATACTTTTTATTTGTGTTTTTTTTCCTTGATCAGTCTTGCTACAGTGCCGTCTACTTTATTAGTCTTCTTGAGAACAAGCTTTTTATGATTTTGTTTTCTCGATGTTTTAGTTTTGTGTCACTAACGTCTGCTTATTAACCATTTTTTCCTGCTTTCAATCTTTTTTTGGTCTTACTCTGTTCTCTTTTCTAGGTTTTTTTTTTTTTTAGCTTGCATAAAGACAATTTATTAACAGAAAACAATAATTTGAGGAATCCTGTTCACAAACCTCAATCACAGTGACCTGCTATATAGGAGGGGATGGGGGTGACATCCTCAATCCGCCCAATCTTCATTCCTGAAGGGCAAGGGCTCTGAGGGCTGACTGGGCCCCATGTCCAAGGGTCTTGGTTTGATTTCCTCCTGCAGAGGAGGATTTCCTCCTGCAGAGTTTGATGTGGACAGCAGTGACGCCCAGCTCCTTACACCTCTGGGCTACATCCTGGGCAGCCAACACGGCAGCGGAGGGAGAGGACTCATCTTGGTCTGCCTTCACCCTCATCCCGCCAGTCACGCGGCAGATGGCTTCCTTGCCAGAAAGACCGGTGACGCGGACAAAAGTGTCATCGAAGGAAGCAAAGATGTGGCACACACCACACACATTTTCTCCTTCAGCTACCTGAGGTCCAAGGCTGATGACCTGACCTTCCTTCTTTTCTTTCCCCTTGTAAGGTGCCATTTCTGTGCATCTCCTCTAGACTCCATCACTGGAGACTCTTTTCTGGGTTTTTAAGATGAGTATTTAGTTTATTTTCATTCTTTCTTTTATTTGTTATAAAAAAAGGTTTTTTTAATGCTTATTTTTGAGAGAGAGAGACAGAGCGATAGAGTGTGAGCGGGGGAGGAACAGACAA